CTCTTGTCTACAGTTCATTCTTCACACTCTTTACAAGAGTAACCCTTCCACCATGCAGGATCAATAACGTCCTCCTGCCCAAAGACCGTCAATGGCTCCCCACCCACAAAAAAAAATCAAGTCTTTCCAAGTAGAAAACCTTCAAATAAAATCAGCCATGTGTAATAAGTAAGAGGCATATGACTCCAAGAGTAGATACTAGGTGATTTTATACATTAATTCTCTTGGTTATATACTATTTGGTAAAATCAATTTGGCAAAAGTAATTTGGCCCAAAGCAAGCTATTGAAGTGATGATTTGATTGAAAAAGGATATCCCCAGAAATATTCCCGCCATTTTTTTGTTTTTAGACTTTGAGAGGTTTCCCCTTGCCCTTTTTGTTCTATATGACTAATTTTCATCCAATTATTCCTACCCTGTGCTGTCCAGAACATCAAACATTTTGAAACCACCTAAATATCCAACCATTGGGAGGTAACTGAAGCCTACACATAGCTGTAGCAATAAGGAATGGTTTAAACAAATTGTCAAGGATTATAAAATGTATGTATAGTTTGCACAAACATTATATGCAGTGACATTGTAAAGCAAATTTGCAAAATGTATAGTCATAAAAATATCACCAAACAAGATCAGCAACAATTAATTAAAGATGAATTAGAAAAAATCCAAAATTCTAGATCTTTGTGTTATGTCTTTTGTAGTATTATTTATTTATTTTTCTTATTACAAAAGCGAGTCAAGTTATGAGAGAAAACTAAGAAAAGACAGACAGCTACATGCACATGACCATAACAGCTTGCTACTCAATGACAACTACTTCTAGATCTTCTAGTAAAAACTGAATCATATGATACATACTATTTGAAAGCAACTCCATTTTATTTATGCATCTTCCACTGTTGAACATTTAAGTTGATTTCAACAAATCTCATATTTTGTATATTTAAGTTTTTATCACTTTTGTTTTTTTGCTGTCAGTAGCAGCACAAAGCAATAGTAACTAGATAAAATTGATCTGACATAAAATATAAAAGGTTTGGGCAAAACTCCCCAGAATTCTGAAAAAATGGTTTAAAAAAATGTTTAAAGTCACATAAATTGTAAAACCACCCCCAAGTGAAATGAGACCCTGGACAACCAAACCCAAACTGGTGAGCAGGAATATTCATCTTCAAACAAATCATCGTCTTCTCCAGCTGCTTTTGGCAAATCACCTGCAGCCTTTCAGGTCGTGAGGATCTTTAGGAGGTAAATGACCTCCTGCCCAAGATGATGGATTTCCCCTTCAAATCAGGCCTTTTGAATAAGAACAGATGACAACAACTTGCTGTGTCTATTAACACTGTAAACTAGCAGGACCAGATCTGAGACTATATTATTTACTTGGCTGGTGATAAGGAATGGGCTACTCTCTATAATTTCTAACCAGGATCATACTACCCAAATAGTAAATTTAATAATTTGGACCCACTTCCCTTCCAAGCTTACTTAAAAGCATCATGTACCCTCTATTCTGTTAGCTCTTTGTCCATCTTTACTCCAATATCACACCGTCTTGATTACTGTAAATTGATAACATGTCTCAAAATCAGAAATGCTGTTCCTCCAACTCAGTTCTTTTTCAAAGTTGTTTTGGCTATACTAGGTGTTTTTGCATTTCCACATAAATTTTGGAATCAATTTGTCAAGTTTGACAAGAAAGCCTGTTGGGATTTTGCTCTGGGGAGAACTGACACCTTAATGATATGGATTTGTCCAATCCATGAACATGGTATATCTCCATTTGTTTAGATCTTCTTTAATTTCTCTCAACAATGGTCTGGTTTTCAGTGTGTACATCTTTTATCAGAGTTATTCCTAAATATTTCATACTTTTGATGCTATTACAAATGATATTGTTTTTTTAAATTCAATTTCCAGTTGCTCATTGCTAATGTATAGAAATATAATTGATATTTATATATTGATGTTTTGTCTACAGCAACTAACACATATATGGACATCGGATATTCAAAATAAGTGTAAGAGCAATTCAGCAGAGATAATCTTTTCAACAAATGGTGCTGGAACAATTGGATATCCTCATGCAAAAGAGCCCAAAACCAGACCAATACAAAACCTTCAATCCATACTTCACATTATTTAAAAAATTAACTCAAAATGAATCATAGACATAAATGTAAAACCTAAAGCTATAAAACTTCTAGAAGAAAATATAAAAGAAAACCTTTATGACCTTGAGTTAGGTAAAGATTTCTTAGATATGACACTGAAAACATAAGACATAAAAGAACAAGTCAATAAGTTGAACTTCATCAAAATTAATTTTTTTTGCTCTTCATCAAAATGCACTGTTAGGAGAATGAAAAGACAAGCCACAGACTCTGAGAAAATATTTGCAAATCATGTACCTGATAAAGGATTTGTATCCAGAATATATAAAGAACTCTCAAAACTCAATAATAATTCAACAACTCAATTTTTAAAAAGGGCAAAATGTTTAACCAGACATTTTACCAAAGAAGATATATTGATGGCAAATAAGCACATGAAAAGATGCTCAACATCATTAGTTATTGGCAAATGCAAATTAAAACTATGAGAGACCACTACACACCTATTAGAATGGCTACAATGAAAAAGACTAGCCAACCACACACACACACATAATTTGGTAACTATGTGAGATGACGAATGTGTTAACTAACCCTATTTTAGTAATCATTTTACAATATGTACATATATCAAATTATCATGTTATACACCTTAAAGTTACACAATGTTATAAACCAATTATATCTCAATAAAGCTGGGGGAAAAAACATTTAAAAAGGTAAAAGAAAAAAAAAACCAGACTGATCATACCAAGTACTGACAAGCGTGTGGAAGAACTGGACCCTGCTGGTGGGAATGCAAAACAGTACAAGTACTTTGGAAAGTGGTTTGGCAGTTTCTTAACAAATTAAACATACACATGTCATATGATCCAGCCATTCCACTCCTAGCCATTTTTTTCTACCCAAGAGGAATGAAATCCTGTGTCCACACAAAATCCTGTGTGTGAACGTTCACAGCAGCTTTGTATGTAATAGCCCAAACCAGAAACAGTGCAAACGTCCATTAACAAGTGAATGGATAAACAAAGTGCAATAGCCATGCAATGGAACACTGTTCAGCAACAAAGAGGAATAACCATAGGTACAAGTTACAACACGGATGGAGAATTCTCAGAGTAACTGCTATGAGTGAAAGAAGCCAGACAAGAAAGAGTACATACTGTACCACTCCACTTATATAAATTCTAGAAAATGCAACAAATCAGTAGTGACAGAAAGTGGATTGTGGTTGCCTGGGGGACAGGGCTGGGTGGGAGGTAAGGATTATGCAGGATGTGAACAAACTTTTGATAAAGATGATTATGTTTACTCTGTTGATTGTGGTGATGGTTTCATGAGTGTATACATTTACCTCTAAACTTATCAAATCGTGCGCCGTTTAAATGTATGCAGTTTATTATCTATCAATTATACCTCAGTAAAGCTATTTAAGAAAAACTAAGGGACATCAGGAGCTACGAAATGACAGCAATACCTTTCTGAGGTCAAAGAGCGAGGCTGTAGTTGAGGACCTTAGAGATCTTGCTGGAGTGCTCCTCTCTGCACTGTGAAGGGACGGCTCATCCTTGCTGGGCTCTGACAGCTGCATTTCACTTTCATATTGTGCAATAGGGTTGTCCCAGGCTACCAGCTATCTTCGGCATCTCTCTAGGGGTCACATAGGACACTGGCTAGCCAGCTGGGAGAAACTGACCAGGTCACCAATATAACTCAGATCCTCAGATGTAGGGAAAAATCTCCTGAAAATAAAACTTCGCGAAACTTCGCAGGACTATGGAGTTCACCCCAAACCAGCCAGCAGCAACCGTGGTTGGACGGCTTGGATCAAGTACTGGGTGGACTGGCCTGACTGGATGTAAATTATTGGAAGTCTTGCCTCAAACACCCACACACACAAAGAGATCATGGAGTGAGTACCTCTCCCGGGGAGTCCGTGGGTGGCCTTCAGTGAGGCCCCGACCCCAAAATTATACGGAAGTTTTGTAAGTATGTGCATTCATGCATTTTTCTGGGGAGAGGATTTGTAGCTCTCCTCCGACCCTCAAAGAGCTCCCTGACTGTAAAAAGATTAAGAAGTGCAAACATGAATAAAGCCAGAACCCTCGGTCCTTTCTGCTCCCTCCTCTCCAGCTTCCAGGATCAAAACCTACGAGTCCTTCATTCGCTTCTTCCCACTGAGATCACATCTACCGACCTATGTTCTTCTCAAATACAGCAAGCCATCACCAACTTCATTTCTTCCTCCCTTTGCCTGGGAGCGCGTACTCCAGGCAGCACCCCACCCCGTCCCCTGCGCAGTCCTCTCACGGTTTCCTGCTACTTACGAATTTGGAGTTGTTTCCCAGGTCCCCAGGTGTGCAACCTGCCCAACACGTTTCCTCTCTCCGGGTACGCAGTCCCTACCCCGTCCTACCACCACCCACCCATATAATTTGCTTTTGCCTAGGGTTAGAGACAGGGTTGTTTTCCTTGAGACACGGGAACAGCTTTCCTCGTGGCGCTCAGAGAACCACGCTCACGTATTTCTCCAAACTGCTGTAAAACTCCAACCCGGAGCCCCAGTCGCAAAGCCCGGCAATCCCCTTTACCTCGGAAACTGGGAAGACGTGGAATTAAATGCCTGGCCCCTTGGCTCCCTCCCCTGGGTGGCCAGGCAAGCCGGGCTGGGTAGGGGCGCAGGCACGGGCGCTCTGCCGTTCCCCACCGCTGTCTCCACGTGTCCCTGACGCGAGGGTGCAGCGCTCCCTCCGCGATCCCCGGCGGGCACACACCCCCTTCCTCGCGGACCGACTCACCGCTGCGGTAGGGCGCTCGCTGCCGACCCCCTAGGGCTCCCCGGCCCCCTCCCGCCGCCCCCAGGGGCGCGCGCCTCTCCCTACCCGGAGTCACCGGCGGCCGGAGCAGCAGCAGCAGCAGCAGCGCGGGGAGGGCGCTGACCCGGCAGCCCCGGAGCCGCCGCCGGGCCATGGCCGGACGCTCCCGCCGGCCACCTCCCGGGCTCGCAGCGGCCGGGCCACCCCGCCGCCCGCGCCCGCGGATGCGCGAGGGTCCCGCAGGAGGCGGCCGGCGTTGCTCCCCGCACTGGCCGCCCCGCGAGTCGCATTCGCTTTCGCTTTTGCTTTAGCCCCTGGAGGGCTGGGGAGAGGTGAAGAGCTGTGACAGATCCGTGACTCAGCATCCCCACCCCCTCTAGGAAAAGCCCCGGCACCGCCGTGACCCCCGCCCCGCAGACCCGGTCCCCGAGCGCCGCCGGCAGCGAGGAGCGCAGACCGGGACCGTCACCTGCGGAAGCCCGGGCCCCGCTCCCCCCGCCCCGTCCCCTTCTCTCCTCGCCCTCTGGACCCTAGAAGTCCGTTGGGTCTCTGGTCCCCTGCAGAGGGAGTGCGCAAAGCCGGGGGAAGCAAACTTTCCCGTAGACGCTGCTGGGGGGCTTTCGCACCTGGCTTCTCCGCTCGCTGGGTCTCCTCCCTTCGCTTGCCTCCGCCTGTGGCTCCGGCTTCAACTTTCCGACGTTCCCTGCGCTCCTGGACCACGAGCTGGTGGGTGAGCGGCCCTGCGTGCGGCCGGAAAGTCTCATCACGGTGGGTGACAGCGCAGTTGTCGCCGCAGGGCGACTGGCCAGGTCACCTGCCCTGTGCGCCCAGGCCCGGCAGCGGGAGCAGCCCAGGCCACCTGCTCACTCCTGCTCTGGCTCCCGGCGCCGCCACTTTGTCTTACTCCTGCGGCTGCTTGCTTCCCCAAGAAAATTTCAAATATTTGAAATGGGGATGAGAGGGAGACGGAAGGAGGATCTCAAAGTTACTCATCTCTTAGTTCATTTCGTTATTTTGTTTCGTTAGACGAGTTCTCCTAGTCTGCCATCCTCCTCTTTTGCAGGCGTTTTGGTTTACCTTTTTTTTTTTTTTTTTTGCTGAGGAGGATTCACCCTGAGCTAACATCTATATTAATCTTTCTCTATTTTGTATGTGGGTCCCTGCCCCAACATGGCCACTGAGGTGTGGTGTAGGTCCAGACCGGAATTGAACCCTGAAGCAGAAGTAGGGCACATTGAACGTCACCACTAGGTCTCCGGGAGCCCCTGGGTGTTTTGTTTTTTTCTCCCTTGGGAATCTCAAGTTAAGTCTAACATTGCTGAGTCAATATACAAGTGTATAACAAGAAAGCTCCAGATGCACATTCTGAATTCCCAGTTCTGGGAGTGAAATTTAGGCAAAATTAGACATCTCTGGGCTTCAATTTGTCCCCCAGGGTAACATCTTGAATAAGTATAGTGCAATATTGCAACCAGGAAATTGACGTTGATGCAATCCATAGCCCTTCTTCCAGTTTTACCAGTTTTCCACGCATCCATTCATTTGCACGTGTGGATTCTGTTCTGTGCAGTTTTGTCGCCTGTGTAGATGTCTGTGATCCCTACCACCATCAAGACACAGAACCGTTTCCATCACCAGGATCCGTCCTACTATTATCTTATAGGCACAGCCACCTTCCTCTCTCTCCACCCCCGCCCCCCGCCAAGTCCCTAAGACAACCACTGTTTTTTTTCTCCATCTCTGTAATTTCATCTTTGAAGCATTTTATATCAGTGGAATCATACAGTATGTAACCTTTAAAGGTCGACTTTTTTCACTCAGTGTAATCCTCTTGAGATCCATTCAAGTCACTGCTGGTATCAGCGGTTGTCCCTTTCTATGAGTAGTATTGATGGTTTCTTTTTTTTTTTTTTTAAAGATTTTATTTTTTCCTTTTTCTCCCCAAAGCCCCCCCGGTACATAGTTGTGTATTCTTCGTTGTGGGTTCTTCTAGTTGTGGCATGTGGGATGCTGCCTCAGCGTGGTCTGATGAGCAGTGCCATGTCCGCGCCCAGGATTCGAACTAACGAAACACTGGGCCACCTGCAGCGGAGCGCGCGAACTTAACCACTCGGCCACGGGGCCAGCCCCGATGGTTTCTTTTTTTAAAGTATGAATCTCTGCCACCCACCCTCAAGTCACCCTGTACTGTTTTACGTGTATTTGTTTTCTAGTGCTGCCATAACAAAGTACCAAAAACCAGGTGGTTTAAAACAAGAGGAATCGATTCTCTCACGGTTCTAAAATCCGAACTCTTGGGAGTCTGAGATCAAGGTGTTGGAAGGACCATGCTCTCTCAGAAGGCTCTAGGAGAGGGTCCTTTCTTGCCTCTTCTAGCTTCAGGCGTTTGCTGGCCATCTTTGGTGTTCCTGGGCTTGTCGATGCATCAGTCCAGTCACATGGCCGTCTACTCCTTGTGTCTCTTCATGTTGTCTTCCCTCTACGCGTGTCCCTGTGCCCAAATTTCTCCTCTTTGTAAGGACGCCATTCATGTTGGACTAGAACCCACCCTAATGACCTCATTTTAACTTGACCTCTGTAAAGAACCTATTTCCAAGAAGATCACATTCTGACCTACAGAGAGTCAGGGCATGCTTCCACCCATAACAATATGGTATCTTTATTTCTGAGAACAAAGTCCAAGCTCCATTTTCTCAGGCCAAAGGAAATGACCTGGCTGCAGAACGGCTGGATTCCTGAGGTGGTGCTCATACTTCAGGGGTGACTCAGGTGAGAGTTCGTTCAGGGGCGCCAAATCAGAGGCCCCACACAGAGGTGGGGAACTTGGTAAGCACCCATCGCTCAGAGCAGAGCTGGAGTTAAGGACCAGGCTGTGGGGTTGGGAAAGATAATGCCTGGTAGCAGGGTCTTCAGCCATGGATTGTCCTCTGGAGGGGTATAGACAGTGGACCCTCAGGACTGAGGAGGCTAAGATGACAGATTGGGTGACCAAGAAGAGGATAGCTGTGGCTCAAGGTTAATGGATTCTTTTTTTTTTTTAGAATCTTAAATGTTTAAACCAAGATATATAGCATGAAATTCACCATTTTAAATTGTATAATTCAGTGGTTTTTAGTACATTCGTGATATTGTGCAACCATCACCCCTATCTAATTCCAGAATATTTCCATTACCCCAAAAAGAAAGCCAGTATCTATTAGAGCCACTCCCAGTTTCCCCTCTCCCAGCCCCTGGTAACCTTTAATCTACCTTCTGTTTCTGTGGTTTTCCTATTCTGAATATTTCACGTAAATGAAATCATACACTATGCCCTTTTCTGTCTGGTTTATTTCACTCAGCATAATTTTTTCAAGGTTCCTCCATGCTGTCACATGTATCAGTACTTCATTCCTTTTTATGACTGAATAATATTCCATTAAATAGATAGTCTACATTTTGTTTATTCATTCACCAGTTCAGAAATATTTGAGTTGTTTCCACTTTTTGGCTGTTATGAATAATACTGCAATGCACATTCATGGACAAGCTTATGTGTGAATAAATGTTTTCAGTTCTCTTGGGTATATCACCTAGGGGTGGCATCGTTGGGTTGGATGGTAATTCTAAGATTCTTGAAGGATGGCAAGAAGACTCAAGGAGCCATTTAGCAACGAGACCCAACTGGTTCGCAGACGGGGGTGACAATTTCTAATGCTCACCAGATGATAGCGTACTTGGCTTTGGGACACATTGACTTAGGAACTAAGGCAAGATAAGTGTGTAGGGATCAGTGTAAGGGCATGTAGCTGCTGCAGCGAACCGGGGGAACCAAGGCTATGAAAATAATGACGTGGAGAGAATGAAAGAGAGCTACTCCACTCACAGAAAGAGTTTTGTTTAAGAGCAGGAAAAAAATAAGCTTGGATGTAAGAGGAAGGAATTGCTTCTCAAAACTCAAAGTATGAAAAACACCACATTTCCCTATTTTACTTCCGTAAATCATCTCACATCTGGCTGCAAGCTTCTACATGCCAAGATCAACAAAAATCTACTATCATTCCTCTCCCCCACAATGGCGAATGGTTCTCTTCCCTTCCCTTGGGTTTTACCAGAACCCAGGAAAAATAGGGAGAGGCTACGACTTGTGTCTTCTTGACTACTCCTCATGGTCATTGTCCAGACCCACCTTCTGGTCTCTGGTCAGCAAACACACCTTACTCTCTTCTACGTAGTCCACCCCCATTCTCTTCGAAACATTTTTGCATACCCAGTTTTCCCCACAGACAATCTAGGCAGATACCTCAATTAGCCTAGGTCTTCCTTCCAGAAAAGGCCTATTTGTGTCAGCCTCCTGGTACCCTGCAGTCAAATAAACAAACACCAAACAAATAATCTGTAAACCGCATCCCTGTGAAGAGAGAACCCGAAATTCTCGAACACAAAAGCTTGTTTGCTCCTAGAGAAAATCACTTCTTAGTTTCTTCCCTGTGATGAGTCTCTGGTAGCAAGAATCTCCAAGAGACCAATCCATTTCTTGATAAAAACTCACTCCACTATATTAATTTGGAGCCTCATATCCATAATTTAATCACTTTTGTAGTTGAAAAAATTAAGCTGTGAAAGGGATTTTGAATTTTAAATATTTAAACGTGTCAGAGTAGAATGAGTTGACAACTGTTTAAAGTCTCGTTGTTTTTGCACTCAAAGTTGTTTTGGAATTTTTCTTTTTGATTGGCCTTGAAACCACATTCTCTCTGGTTCTGCATGTATGGGAATAATAGGGCCTACATCATAGGGTGATTGTGAGGATTAAATGAGTTAGTAAAAAAGCATTTTGAACAGTGCCTGACATGTAATAAGTGGTCAATAAGTGTTAGATTTGGGGGCTGGCCCCATGTCCCAGTGGTTAAAGTCTCTTACACTCTGCTTCAGTGGCCAGGGTTCGCATCCTGCACGCGGACATATTTCATTTGTCTGCCATGCTGTGGCAGCAACCCACATGCAAAATAGAGGACGATTGGTACAGACGTTAGCTCAGGGTTAGTCTTCCTCACCAAAAAAAAAAATAAATAAAGTGTTAGATTTATAATACATAATGTATAATATATAACACATTATCCTTTGTAAACTAACTAAAATGATTGCAGAGGAAGCTGTCAGCTAAAAATGTTAAGTTAGGGGTTGAGAAAGTGTTCAGAGAAATATTATCTATGATACTCAGCCAAGCCATCTGTCAAGGCAGGATGCCAGAGCTTGAAGACGGGTAGGAGGCCCCAGGAGCAGATGGTGAAGATGGAAGCTCCACCCTGGGTGAAAGTTCC